TATTTTATCTTGGCTTTGCAACTGTTCAGTTTATGCTGTATCTTGACTCTGGAAGGGAACGTGTGCTCTACAGGTTTCCTGAGCTTACATAGATCACTTTTGTTTTGTCTCTTCCTTCTTTTCACTGGGGATTGTATTGGATGTCTTCGATAATGAGCAGGAACATCAAGGTAATTTGAAAATTCCCTCAGATGATTTCGGCATAACTAGTGAAATACAGGTTAATCCCAAAGGAAGCATCACAGAGGGAAGGAAAATCATAAATTCATCCTACCAATGAAAACAAGAGAATCACTTTAGAAAAGCAAATCTGATATTTTACTCAAGGTGAGTGGAGAAGAATTGTGTTTGATTCTGGTTTTGGTTCTTTCCCATAACTGCTTTCTCTTGACTACAGACACTATTATGGCCACTCCCAGGTGATTCCTTCAACTTCACTATAAACCTGTACTTTTTCTTTAGATTACTAACATTCAGTGAAGCTCTATGCTACTTTTAGGACATTAAATTTTATAAATTAAGAGTTTCCTCAGTTGTTTTGGATTTATGGGAGCTGATAGTAATATTTGATTACTGTAAGTGTCAGAGAGAAATACCAGGACATTTCATTACCAAGTTCATATAATCTCCTGGTGTGGTGATGTAGGATAAGCACTGGACTGCTCACCGCAAGGCTGGCTGTTCAAACTCAACAGCTACTCTTAGGAAACCCTATACAGGGTTGTTACGAGTCAGAACCCACCCTACAGCACTTAACAACACCAGCAATTAAGATTAGGTTTACTTTGCACACATCATCAGGAATTACCAATTACTAGAAAAGAGCATCATATTTGGTAGAGAGTCAATGGGATGGTCAATTAGAGGGACTCTTCATTGGGAAAGATTGACAAGATAGTCACAAGAATGAATTGAAACATACCAATAATCATGAAGATGGTACAGGAATGCACATCAGTTTGTTCTGTTATATATGGGGTCACCGTAAGTAACAGCTAACTCAATAGCAACAAACAATAATAACAAATTAGGGTTACAATTCCAGATATAGTACAGAATATCCAGATACATTTGAATTTCATGAAAAGATTTTATATAGTATAATTATGCCAAAGATAAGATTTGATAAATATTCTTTTAATAAAAGTTTTTCCAATGAAATACTTCTAAACATAGAATGTTACTGGGCATGTATTCATCGTGTAACATTTGATAAATGTTGAAACATTTTACAGAAAGATTTCCTATAAAAGCATTCCGTTTTGTTGTTGTATATCATCACCATGATGTTTGTTTCTTGTTTTCTCTATTAGTTTCTTACTACCATTTTTTTTTTCTTTTTTCTGAATGAACATTACCAACTGACGGAGTTGAATGGTAAATTTTGTGACTTTTAACAGTTACTGTTTTAAGAACAACTCCCTGCACTATAAGTATTTTCTATCTGCTGTGTTAATATCAGAGGATTAGAAAATCATTTATTCACTTGTAAACTTCTATATTGTGCCTGTTTTAATGATGAGCCTTATCCAGAGATAATTAAAATGTACACATTTAGAAGTCCAGAATGGATCAAAGATACTCTTTCTCAAAAAGAAGAATGAGCAAGGTAGAAGTATCTGGGAAGCTTCAAAGTAAGGTAATGACAAACACTGAAGATGCTGATAGACATTGAAGATGATCAGTGCACACTACAATAATGCTTAGAGGACATTAAAAAATTAAAGATGGTAAGATGAACTTGAAATTTAAACTTTTGCTCAATCCAGTATTCTACAGTAAACAAGTGTGATATCAGGCTTGGTGATATAGCAAATTTGAGGTAAAGTCTTCAAAAGAATTAGGCTTCTAGTACTTCTGTACTATGGTATAGGAAAGCTCTAGAAGAGAGTGGAGTTTACTGGAGAAACAGCAGACAATGTTTTCTAAGATTATTAGATGAAGGTGATTAATCAATTTCCAGTAATTTCTACCCCCGATTTCTTGGATCAGACTAGCAAAATTAAAATAAAAACTTAGAAAATCCCTAAAATTACTACCATTCTCTTGAAAGTTGCAGCCAACTTCAGAACAAAAAATATCATTAGCAAATACATTCCTGTAGTCTAACTCTGCACTTAAACCACTCGATACCATACACTAAGGCCTCATGATGAAGGCCCTTAAATTTCTACCTGATAGTTTCACAAACTAAATTTGGGCATTCTATCATATTATTTTAATTCTATGCTGTATTTTGTATCATTGAGCAATTGGAAAGCTACTTACTCTTCCAAAAGGAAATTATACTTTCAGAGTACTAGATTTTCACAAAGGGCCATGGGTAGAAGAAAAGGTGAAAAGGAAATCCAAGTGGATTAATCTAAAGAAGCTTCAGTCACTCCAGTCATGAAAGTTCCATTTTCATTTACTGACTTTCTTTATAAAACTTTATAAAATGAAGGGGCAGATGTTATCACAAAGATATTTGAAAATCACACTCTTATGCTCTGTAATATCTCTACTATAATTGTTGTTAGATGCCATCTCATCAGTTCCAACTCATAACAACCCTATGTACAACAGAATACTGACTGGTCCTCATCATCCTCAAAATCATTTCTGTGCTTCAGTTCATTGTTGAAGCCACGGTATCAGTCCATCTCACTGAAGGCTTTACTCTAATTCATGGATTCTCTATTTTCCTAAGCACAATGTACTTCTCCAGGGACTGGTTTCTTCAGATAGCCTGTCCAAAGTATGTGAGAGGATGTCTTACTATCTTCACTTCTAATGATAGCTCTAGCTCTACTTCTTCCAAAATGGATTTTTTTTGTTTGTTTGTTTCTTCTTTCAGTATACCCTATATTCGGTATGCTTTCATAACACCATCATTTAATGGAAAAAGTGTTTCTTCAGTCTTCTTTGTTCATTGTTAAGCTTTCACATGCAAAGGAAGTGATTGAAGATATGGCTGGGGTCAGGTCCAACTTAGTCCTGGAAGAGACATCTTTGCTTTTTAATATTTTAAAAAGGTCATTTGCAGAAAATTTGTCCAGTACAATAAATATTTTAATTTCTTTTATTGCTACTTCAATCGGTATTGAAGAGTTCCAGAAATAAATTGATACTTTGAAATATATTATGTCATAAATGGAAACATACATATTCTAATTGCCTCATCTCCAATTTGTTGTTAGAGGAAATAAACCATACAAAATCAAATAGTCAAATTTCTGTATATTTGCATAAACCGTTGATTTTAGCAGGGATGGATCAAAATCTTTTGTATCTTTAAGCTTTTACAAGCTTGACGATTTTCATTTAAAAGGAAATATAAGCATTTCTACTTCAAAGTGTGTTTTTTTGGTATATTATTAAGAATGGAAATTTAAATTATAAACAAACTGATCTTGGTTACGGGTATTATAAAACCTATATGTATATAAATCTTAACAAATTAAATCAGGACATATTTTAGCACACTAGGTGATAGGTGTGCTCTTAGAGGTCATTCTAACTCTAGAATGAAAGCATTATTGAATAATACATGTCATTGTTTTTTGAACCATAATAATATACATTGTTGTATTTGTTGTTAAGTGCCATCATAGCTACCCTGTATAGGGTTTCTGAGGAGCAGCTGGTGAGCTTGAACAGCCAATCTTGTGCTTCAAATGACTTTGTAGTCCAATGTATTAACCGACAGTGCCACACCAGGACATTATGGGCCTCAAATAAAGTTGTTGTTGTTATGTGCCGTGGAGTCGGTTCCAACTCATAGCGACCCTGTACAGGGTTTCCGAGGCTGTAAATCTTTACCAGAGCAGAAAGCCTTGTCTTTCTTCCTCAGAACATCTGGTAGTTTCAAACTGCTGACCTTGCAGTTCGCAGCCCAATTAGTAACCACTATGCTACCATTTATTTGAATCTCACAAATACCTGCTGATATTCCAAGGTAAACTAACGATTGCTGAAGTACAATGAAGAGTAAGTCAGCATGGAGAAAGAATGATCCTATAATTGATCATGGTTATAATATTCTAGCTTTGCAACTCTTATAAAGATATTTAACTGTGTGCTTACTAAAGTCTTATTGAGAGTATTGAAGAGGCCAGAGAAAATGTGGGGCTGAAAAACTTAAGCTTCATTAATCCTGTATTATCACTCCACTCTCTTTAAGAATGTCAGTATCTAAAAATATTCTCAGACAATAAAGAAGTGTAATGAACTAGAATGGTAATGTCACTGTGTGGTGGTATTGGTGGCGGGTGTGTGCTGTACAGTTGGTTCCATCTCATAGTGTCCCTGTATAGGATTTCTGAGGCTGTACATCTTTATGGTAGCAGAAAGTCTCATCTTTCTCCCATGCCATCGTATAGGGAAGCAAAATATAATGCTTTTATATTAATAAAACTATGTGTTTGTTATTACTGGATATAAATAACAAACACTGTTGCCCCACTTTAGAATGTAATCTATCAGTGTGTTCAGTGCTGGGCTACTAACTAAAGGGTTGGCAGTTGGAATCTCCAGTCACTTCATGAGAATAAGATAAGGCAGTCTGCTTCTATAAAGATCACAGTCTTTGAAACCCTATGGTGTAGTTCTACTCTTGTTGTATAGGATCACTGAGCCAGAATCAACTTGATGGGTGTGGGTGGGTATGTCAGTATATAAGCTGGTTTATGTGGATCTCTTCTATTTTGAAGGAGATTCTAAAAAATATATTATAACTTCAAAAAATAATGTAGAGATTAATTTTATCACCACACGTAGGATAAGTATTGGATGGCTAACCTCAAGGTCAGTGGTTGAAATCCATGAAATGCTCCTCCAAAACCCTGTACAGGGTCGCTATGAATCAGAACTGACTCCATTGCACTTCACATCAACAACATAAAGAAAGAGAGCATTGGTGGTTCAGTAGTAGAATTCTTACTTTCTGTTTGTTTGGATGGTGCTATATGAAAGATAATACAAACCACTCTGCTTTTTCCTCCAATAGAGAACTCTACTAAATGGGTCAACAGAACCTAACGGTGCTGACAGAATTCATTCTAATTGGACTTACAAGGCACCCTGACCTGCAGATTCCCCTTCTTGGGGTCTTTCTACTCATCTACTTGATCACAGTGATGGGAAACCTAGGTCTGATCATCTTGACCAAGATGGACCCCCACTTACACACCCCCATGTACTTTTTCATCAGGCACCTGGCCTTCATTGATCTTGGTAATTCTACCGTCATTTGTCCCAAGATGCTGGTAAATTTTATTGTAGATCAAAATGTCATTTCTTATTATGAATGTGCCACACAGTTGGCTTTCTTTCTTTTTTTCATTATCAGTGAATTTTTCATCTTGTCGGCCATGGCTTATGATCGCTATGTGGCTATCTGTAACCCTCTGCTCTACAATATTATCATGTCCCCAAAACTTTGCAATTTACTCGTGGGCATTCCATATCTGTACAGTACCTTCCAGTCTCTGATGTTCACCAGTAAGATTTTTACATTGACCTTCTGTGGCTCTAACGTCATCAGTCATTTCTACTGTGATGATGTTCCCTTGCTACCTATGCTCTGCTCAAATGCACAAGAGATACAATTGTTAATCATAATGTTTTCAGCATTTAATTTATTATCCTCCCTGCTAGTAGTCCTGGTGTCCTACTTGCTGATTCTGATAGCTGTATTTCGAATGAATTCTGCTGAAGGCAGGAAGAAAGCTTTCTCTACTTGTGGCTCTCATCTGACAGTGGTGATTGTGTTCTATGGGTCTCTACTATTCATGTATTTGCAGCCCAAATCTACTCATTCATTTGAAACTGATAAAATGGCTTCTGTGTTTTACACTTTAGTCATTCCCATGCTTAACCCCTTGATCTACAGCTTAAGGAATAAAGAGGTAAAAAATGCCTTCCACAGAGTCTTTAAGAATCCATGTAGTTCTTGTATTTAATAGCCAATATGAGGCAAATGGAGTTCTGGTGTGGTGCTGTGGGTTAATGCACCAGACTGCAAAGCCATTTGAGCTGCAAGGTTGGTGGTTCAAGCTCACCAGCTGTTCCTTGGAAACCCTATATAGGATCGCTATGGGTCGGAATCGACTCTATGGCACTTAAAGACAACAACAAACGAGGCAAATATCACTGGATAATAGTCTCAAAACACAGAATTACATTTGGAATCATCCTGAGGGCAATGAGTATATGGCCCCACTACTAAGACTAATTGTAATGAACAAATACTTTTGTGGTCATTATATTTATCCAAATCAATTCTCATAATGTATACTGAACACCAAATGTCAAATCTTTCCCAACATTGCTTGCTTCCTACTCATTCCTTTCTTATGTGATTCTATAGAACCTCATACTTCCTTCATGGAAAAATAATTATGTACCTCATCAATATATTCTTTGTTTGACTCAATTAGCTTTTTGTTTTAAGACTACAATCTTCTCAAATGTGTGAAACGTGTTAGATAATTTTGATCTGTTAGTATTTAATTTGACATCCTTTCTTCTGAGATAATTAGCCCTGTATGCTGCCTCTCCCTACATTCACAGATAGTAGTAGTTGTTGTTAAGTTCCTTCAATTTGGTTCTGACTCATAGCAACCCTGTATAGTGTTTCCAAGGAACAACAGGTGAGATTGCACTGTCCCCCTTTTGGTTTGAAGTCCAATGCTGATCTTACAGTGTCACGCCAGGAGTCCAAGAAGTTAGGAAGGAAAAAAAAAAAAAAGCTAGAAATAGTGTGGAGAATAGGAGGAAAGGAAAAAATATTAATAATGTCTGATGTGAAAGAATAAAATATTTATTAAATATAATAATTATTGAAGATTGTAATGATTTAAAAAGTTGTGCTTTTCTAAATCACATTGTAAATGTGTTGAAGAATATAATATGTGAAAAGAAGGAAGAAAAACATCAATATATTTTGTCCCTGGAGAATGAAATAATGTTATTGCTGACCATCAACATATTTAATTAAAGGTAAATTGTGGCTATTATTCCTTTTTATTTGTAAAGAATGTATAAAGGATGGTGAGCTGGATTACACTGAATAAATAGATATTCTATTGAAGTCCTGCTGGCATAATGGGTTACACGTTGGACTGCTAACTACAAAATCAGCAGTTCAAATTCACCAGCTACTTTATGGGATAAAAATGAGACTTTCTCCTTCTGTAAATATTTACAGCCCTGGAAACCTCATAACAGGGTTTCTAGGAGCCAAGACCAAGTCAACAGTACACCACCACCTATTGAAGTAGCAAATACTTTTACCACTAATTTATTTTGATTCACTAAAATACTTTGGGGTCAAATATTTATAACATTTCAAACATTGTTTTTTTCCTTTCAAACAAATAAAAATGTTTCCTATCTTCCAGGCTGTCTTTATGTTAATTAGGTTAATTACAAAATCATACAAAGTGCCATATTTTAAGTAAAGATGAAATAGTGTTAATTCTGTTTTTCCTTGGAATTAACAGAGTTTTAAGAAAGAAAATTCTTATTGCTCATCAAACTCACTGGTAAAACAAGAATGTAAAGAAATTTTATTATAAAGTTGACAGTTCTTTCTACCCCGATCTGTTGATTTTGATCTAGTTTCCACAATACCACAAATTATGGCAAACATATGTGTGTCAGAATAGAACTGTGTTTCATAAGTGGCTGACTCTTCAAAAGTAGAACAAAGGCCTTTACCCCAAGGCTCATATAGGTGAATTTGAACCTTCAAACTTTTAATTAGCCTTCTGTGTATATGAATACACATACATGGTTAAGTCAAATAATATGGCAACTAGAGTCCCAGTTTATCTATGCATGGGCTTATTTCAAACAAGACATGATTTTGTGACAAGGTGGAAGTTGTGGACAATTTCGCTCAGCAATTCACTTGTTTTCATTTTGTTAGAGTGCCTTCAAAACAGGCCCAGTTAAAACAGCAGCTTCTGAGAGGACCTGCTATGTGAATTGGGAAGCCCTGGTGGTAAAATGGGTTATGTGTCGGTCTGTTAACCACATGGCTGGTGGTTTAAATCCACCACTGGCTCCATAGAAAAAAGATGAGGATTTCTAATCCTAAGGCTAAAAAATTTTAGAGCCTCAGAAGCTATATCTAGGGGTCGATATGAATCAGAACAAACTTGACACCATATAACAACAATAGTTGTGTTAGCTAAACACAGGCATAGCAGTCAGTTTAGAAGGTTTAGGTGACGATTTTTAGAGATTATAAAGAATGAACCTTGCTATATTTTCTTGAAGGATATAGGGCCATCATGACTTATTATGACTTATTATGAAGAAGACTATAGGAAAATGAAAATTGAATCAGTAAAGAAAGAACAAGAAATTTTCTCAGAGGATATTTTTTCATGACAATAATGTGCCTGCTAATTCTTCTAGGGTAGTAAGGACTGTCCTATGAAAATTTCATTGAAACCTTACCCTATCTATCCTGTAACCCTGATTTTGCCCCTTAACATTTCTTTTTCTTAACCAAACTAAAACAATATTTAAAACTAATATGATTTGAGTCCCTTGAGGATGTCCAAACTACCATTTTGACCCGGTGTCAATTGAAGAGCCCAGAATATTTTAAGGAATGGTTGTTGTTATTGTTACTAGGTGTTGTCGAGTTTGTTCTGACCTATAGCAACACTATGTACAACAGAACAAAAACTGCCCAATCCTGCTCTACTCTCACAATTGCTACTATACTTGAGTTCAATGTTCCAGAGACAGTACCAATCCATCTCATTGGGGTTCTCATTCTTTTTCACTGTTTCTCCACTTTACCAAGCATGACGTCCTTTCCCAGGGACTGGTTCCTCCTTATAATATGTCTAAAGTATGAGAGACCAAGTCTAACCATCTTTGCTTCTAAGGATTTATTTATTTGTTCTTCTGGCAGCCCATAGTATCTTTAATGTTCTTCTCTAACACAATAATTTAAATGCATCATTCCTTTTAAGGACTTCTTAATTTACTGTCCAACTTTTACAAGTTTATGAGGCTATATACCATGGCTTGGGGTAGGCACATATAGTCCTCAAATTAGCATCTTAGTTCTTGAACACTTAAAAGAGGTCTTGTGCAGCAGATTTGCCTAATAAAGTACATCTTTCGAAGACTTGACTGCTGCTTCCATGAGTGCTGATGGTGGATCCAAGCAAAATTAAGTCTTTGACAACTTCAATCTTTTCTCCACATCTCATGATGTTATTTATTTGTCCAGTGATGAGAATTTTTGCTTTCTTTACATTGAAGTACACCCATACCGAAGGCTGCAGTCTTTGATCTTCATCGTTAAGTATTTTAAGTCCTCTTTGATTTCAGCAATCAAGGTTGCAACATCAGCATATTTCAGGTTGTTAATCAGCCTTTTTCCAATTACAATGCCAGATTTTGCTTCATATAATCTGGCTTCTCAGATTATTTGCTCAGGATACAGATAGAAAAGATAGAATAAATATGGTGAAAGAATACAGCCCTGGTGGACATCTTTCCTGATTTTCAACCATTAAGTGTCTCCTTGTTCTATTCTGACGGCTGCCTCTGTATCTATGTAAAGGTTCCTTATGAGCACAATTAAGTGTTCCTGAATACACAGTCCCTGCAATGTGGCCCAGTGCTTGTCATAATCCACAGAGTTCTGTGCATCTGGAAATCACTAAGGAAAAGGTGTGCATGAAATGTTATGAGATAAGATATATTCTCTTATAAGTAAATTTGACTCACTATGATATTATACTGAGCATCATCCACCTTCAAAGGAATCTCAGCTAAGGATATCCAACAGTTAGGGCAATCATTGTGGTAATGTATTGCATTACAAAGTCCTGATGTGGCACAGTATGATAAGCACTGGACTGTTAATTGCAAGGTCAGCAGTTAAACCCACCAGCTGCTTGCTCCTGGGAAACCACATACGGTGTCGATATGAATTGGGACTGACTCCATGGTACTTGGAAACAACAAAAGTGTATTACAATAATTCCTATAGACTTGCTACATGAAAGGATTAGGGAAATACAAACACAAGTCAGAAAGTATTGCTACAAAATCACAGAAACTTTATTAAGCCTACATACTAAAATGTGACGCTATTGCCTTGACATATCCCCCATCTAGGGCTACATAGAATTGAAGGTAGTATTTCTTTGTCATTCCCTGTGGCACTGTGGGTTACTGCACTGGACTGCAAACACATTTGAACCACAAGGTCAACAGTTCAAGATCACCAGCTGCTCCTCAGAAACCCTATATGGGGTTGCTATGAGTCAGAACCAAGTAAACGACACAGAATAACAACAACAAATCCTTCCCTGGAGGAGTCCTGGTATGGCCTTGTGGGTTCATGTGCTGGACTTCAAAGTCATTTTGAACCACAATGGTCACCAGCAACTACCCAGAAACACTATAGAGTGTTGCTATGGATCAGAACAAACTAAACGGCACACAACAACAAGCTCTTCCAGGGTGTCCAAATGTGAAGTTGTAGGATCAACACTGGACTGTTAACCGCAAGGTGACCATGAGTCAGAAACTCAAAGGGACTTAACAACAACAACAACAACAACCCTTCCCTAAGAATCCTGGCGTGGTGCCGTAGGATAAGCACTGCAACCTTTACTGCAAGGTTGGTGATTCAAACCCACCAGTGCTCCTTGGAAAATCTATATAGAGTGACTATGAGTCAGAACTGCCTTATTTGTCACTTAACAGTAACAGTCTTTTCCCAAAGAATCCTGGGTTCTTTGATTTACACTATATCAAAAAAGTAGTTCCAGCCTCTTGTAGGAAATTAAATTATGTTTATTTTCAAAGGCCTTTAAGTTTTGGAAACAAATAGAAGTCTGAAGGGGTAAGGTCAGGACTGTTTAGGCAAGATAAGGCAAGCCTTCCCAGAGACATTCTGATAGCACAGCCATTGCTACCCTCAAACAATGGGCAGGTGTGCTCTTGGTGCAACTTTTCTGGCCTTTTTCTCACCAATATAGTTTTCAACGTCTTTAAAACTTCTTCCTAATAAGCCCCCGTTATTGTTCTTAGTGCTTTGAGAAAATCTATCAAGACTACCACACAGGAATCCTCGAAAACAGTCTCGGTAACATTTTGAGCTGACCTCTCCACCTTGAATTCCGCTGGCTCAGTGGATCCCTTTGGAAGCCATTGTTTTGACTGGACCTTTCTCTCTCTCACTCTTTCTCTCTCTCTCTGTGTCTCTTGCTTTCTTTTTTGAAGGCACCCTAATGAGACTAAGACAAGTGTGTTGCTGAGAAAATGTTTCTACAGCTATTCACTTAGAGCAGAGTCATATTTCAACTTGGTTTTTTTGTTTGTTTGTTTGTTTGTTTTTATAAACTCTTACATGTAGAAACTGAAATCCTACTGGCAAGCCTCTTTACTTACCTTCATGCATCACTGATTTAGAAATGATGGACTAGAGAAACAAGCAGTCTTTTAATCTCAAATCCTCTATTATCCTCTATTTATTATGTAATTTCAGGAAAATCACATAATTTAACTAGGCTCAATATCTTCTGAATGTGAGAATACCAGTTTTTTTCGAGTGAATTCTGGCTTATGGTGACACCATGTGTGTCAGACTAGAACTGAACTCCACAGAGTTTTAAACACCGATTTTCTTTGAAATTAGAATGCCAGGTTTTCTTCTGAGGCATCTTTGGAAGAACTTGAACTCTCCACTTTCAATTTATTTATTTTTAACAACAGTGTGTTATGTACCAGCTATGAGCACCAAAATGAATGAAAATACGGTTATTGCTTTTAAGTGTCATTGAGTTGATTCCAACTTATAGTAACTTTGTACAAGTTTTCTAAGAAACAGCTGGTGGATTTGAACTGTTGACCCAATATAAAATGAGTAACATCTTTGAATAGATATTTGACCAAAGAAGGTATGTATATGACCTAAAAGGATACATAGCATAATCACTAGGACAATACTAATTAAAATTACAGTCAGTTTCCAATACATACCCATATGAATGATTTTGATAAAAACAATTGAAATAACCAAGTGTTGATAACTGTGTGTAAACAATGCAGCCATAATATATGTTGGGATGAAACTTTGGAATATTATTGTGGTATTTTCTTTAAAAGATTAACATAGACTAACCAACTGTCTCAGCAATTCTGCTTCTTGGTATCTACCCAAGAGAAAGTAAACATTATATACTCACATGAGACTGCTAATCAATGTTTCATAGAAGCATTGTTTATAATTGTCAAAGATCCTAACTGATCCAAATGTTAGTCAAAAAGCAAATGGAAAGTTAAAATATGAATGAGAAAAGAGCCACAATCTGATATATACAAGGGGACTTCCAAAAGTTCATGAAAAATAAATAGAATTAATAGATAGGAACCTTTCATGAACTATGAAGCCCCCTCATGTATCTATGAACAAAAGAAAGACCAGATATAAATGACTATATGCCATATAATTAACTTTATATAAAATGTTCATAACATTAATAATCAAAAACCTGTATTAAGCATCATTTACTGACATAATATAAAATTACATTGGTTTAAAGGAATTGCATGGGTTTGACAGGAATCTCTTGAAGGCAGCTTTCACATCTTTATTCCTCAAGCTGTAGATCATAGGATTCAGCATAGGGATCACTAGTGTATAAAACACCGATGCCATTTTATCAGAATTTAATGAACTATCAGATTTGGGCTGTAAATACATGAAGAGTAATGTTCCATAGAAAATCGTGACCACCATTATATGTGAAGCACAAGTGGAGAAGGCTTTTTTCCTTCCTTCGGCTGACCTTATCCTAAGAATGGACAAGATGATGTTGGAATAGGATACTAAAACTGTTAACATGGAGAGAACCAAAGTTGCACCAGCAGAAACAAAGATGATTGTTTTTGGTAAATAAGTATCAGAGCAGGACAATGCTAGCAAGGGAACAGTGTCACAGTAAAAATGGTTGATGACATTGGAAGAACAATAGGACATAGAGAATACATAAGAGGCAACCACAATAGTTGTAGAAAAGCTATAGCTATATACAAGGGATACCAAGAGAAGACAGATCTGTGGAGATACCACCACCATATAGAGCAGGGGATTACAAATGGCCACATAGCGGTCATAGGCCATCACAGCTAGCATGCAAACTTCATCTATAATGAAAAACAAAAACCCACTCATTTGGGTGGCACATTCATAATAAAAGATGATTTTCTCTTTTACTAAGAAATTGGTCAGCATTTTAGGGGCAATGATGGTAGAACTGCTGAAATTGATGATCGCCAAGTGTCTGAGGAAAAAGTACATGGGGGTTTGAAGTCGAGAGTCAACACTGGTGAGTATGATGATGCCAAGGTTCCCTGTCACGGTCATTCCATAGATTACCAGGAAGACAAAGAAAAGGGGGATTTGGAGCTCGGGAAGGTCTGAGACTCCCATGAGAATGAACTCAGTCACCCTGGTGAGATTCCTTGAAGCCATGTAAGTGTTTGACAAGTCATCTGTTTGGAGAATAAAATGAAAAGGGATTACCAACTTTAAGGAATTCATTTCTTGGACTGCATTTAGAAGTCAAGGACAAATCATTAGGTGACATTTCTTGAATCATGCATCTTTTTAAGTCATTTGTTGAACTCAAGCTGTTTCTCTTAAATGACTTTTTCCTTTTCTTCCTCACGTCAGAACCAATATCTATTTTTCTTTTCATTTTGTTTGCTCTACAAGGAAAGAATAAAAATAATGAAGAAGGTTCAAGAAGGATATTACTTTCAACAATTCTAATAGTTTGTTATTTATGTTTTTATAAAAATAATTTAGAAATTGTTTCAACTTTACCCTTACTGATCATAATTTTATTCTTATCCTGTACTTTTCTACAGTCATTTATGACAGGGAAACAAGTTTGGTAAACTAAAGACACGACCCAGCATCATGTACTATTTTTGTACTGACTTGTAAATATTTCAAATCATCCTTAATAACTTATTCCTCTCCAATTAAATATGAGAAAGACTTAGAAAATTTTGTGTCCCCTTCTACATTTATGGTTGCTTGTGATTTTTAATCTGAGCTCTCTTGATGTTTGTTGTTGTTGTTGTTGTTATGTGCCATCGAGTCGGTTCCGACCCATAGCGACCCTGTATAGGGTTTCCGAGGGTGTAAATCTTTAAGAATAGACAATTCTAGTCACTGCCTTGCCCCATTCCCTTTAGCTTATTATTTTATAAGTTTTTTTAGAATTATATTGAGCTTGCTTAGGTATTAAATTTTATTTTCCTCATTTTTTATTTCACTACATCTGAGAAAGTATACATTGAGTAATCATTGGACAATATCTTTGATATCCCATATGAGTAAAGTTCTACTAAAGGTAATAGAGAAATGGCGGCAACCATACATTGACAGAGAACTTCCATAAATTCAAGCCAGATTCTGAAGAGGACACGGAATAAGTGATATCATTGCTGACATCAGATGGATCTTGACTGAAAGCAGACAATACCAGAAAAAATATTTATCTGTGCAAAGGCCTTCGATTATGTGGATCTTGACAATCTATGGACAACATTGCAAAGCATGAGTATTCCTGAACACTTACTTGTGCTCATGAGGAACCTATTTGTAGAACAAGAGGCTATGTGCTCGTGAGGAACCTGTACATAGACCATGTTCAAAGAGAACATGGGAAATCTGAATGGTTTAAAATTAGGAAAGGTGTG